ACAGGTGGCGTTATATTTTGGGCTTGCTATTTGATGATGGTGTCAAGATAAGTGCAGAGGGTTATTTCAAGTTCTTGTAGAAGACATTTTGAATGATACAAATCATAATTAAAAAGCTTTAAACTAAAAGATATATTAATGAAATACAATTGTTTCACATTCTGATATACTGACTATTGCCCATGTTGCCAAAAAAATGTTTCAAAGTCACTAAATTAATAGAATGGCCCCAGGATCTCCAGATATTAATTCAACAGAAAACTTGTGATTCATCATAAAAAGCATATATATATATATATATATATATATATATATATATATATATATATAAGAATGAAAAAAAGAATATTTGAGCGAAGATAATCTCTAGGAAACAATAAATATTGCTGAAGTCATGTTAATATCAAGTAATAAAGGACTGAATGTTATAAGATTTCAAGGAACTGATCTTAACATGTAAAATAATAACTTATTCAGATATGTGGGATATTATTCAAATATGACTACTGGGTGGTTAAACTAAAGTAACTGCTACAAGGCACATAGTGTATGGAGATCTTATCCCACAATGAACAGTCATTTTATGCATCTTAAAGTTGGCAACTGGAAGTTTCTAACCCTTTATGATTCTCAACTAATATGTATAAAGAAGAGCTTCAGCTTCCAGGAAGTACTTTCCACTAAAAGGCTTTAGAGTGAGTGATATGATTTTTATATATGCTGTGAAGAGGGCCAAGAAATTTCTTGAACACCTCATCATTAAAGACTTGTATTTCTCCTTATAGAGTGACAAATTTATTATTTAAATTTGACTGGAATTTTATTCAATGTTAGAAGTTTCTATTGTTTCATAGTTATCCACCAATGGCTATCAGATGTCTTTTTTTTATACAATAAAAACTAAATTGAAAATTTCTAATTTAAAAATACACTACTTTCATTACATAAATAATGAAGATAAAAAAACACAGAGTTATGTGTGTGCATACACAAAAGAAAATCATCAAATCCATTTTATTTTTAAAAATTGCCTCTTAATCACATTAATCTGAATTGCAGCTACAAATTAATGAATATTTTCAGAATGTGACTATTTTTTTTATTTTTATATCATTTATTTAGATTTTTTAAACCAATAAACTTGTATCCTGTTTCCATATTAACTCAATTTATATTTAAGGCAACTTAAATTGTTTCAAACTAATCTGTAAATAATTTAATTTCCTCATTGTATAAGTTTTTTTTTAATTACAAATAATAATTATAATAAGCTTGAATTTTAAAATGGAAACAAACTTCAACTTTATTATTCCTATCTTCAAGGTTTTTCCCCATTTATAAGTCAACATTAGCAGAATTAAATTGTTTCCAATGTTTATATTGATTTTTTTTGTACAAAAATTCTGAAAATGCCTTTTTTTTGTTGTTGTTACATTTCAGAAAAATAAGTTTCATAGATAAATTGGTAATAATCCCCATTTCCTTTAAACAATAATTTCACTAAAACCATAATTTTTATTTAAAGAATACAGTTTTAATTAAAAGAAATTTATTTAGGCAAAAGTAAGTGTATAGAATGTGCACTAATTTTAGAAGTTTCCATTTAAATTGGTATCCAGATTCAAACAACATATCACCTACTTAATGGGTTAAGAAATTAAATTACTATTGCTATTACAATGTGGGATATTTCAAAATGACTGATAAAAACAAAAATGGTAGGAAGCTGAATGAAGTTGGATAAGTTATGCATTTTGACACATCAGACACCAGAAATTTGAAATTTACATCTAAAATTAAGCATTCCTGCATCTGAAGTGTTTCTCTCAATTTGTAATTATAAGCAACATTTAATGTACTGTACTTTATCCCCTCCCTGCCCCCTCATATATATATGATTTTATCAATAATACACAGATGTTAGCTAGCACATGTTGCTCAATCTTCATCTCCAACTTCTGATTAGTTCTGTCAATATATTCAGCATCACACTGCCATTTGTAATTATAGATAATTGAACTAACTTGATGGGGTTGGGGCAGAACATCTTTACAGATGGATTTCAGTGTTGATTGAGAAATGAAAAATAGGCTGTGGATTGGTGGAAAAATAGCAAAGCTACACATTTTGGTTGATTTGCTTAGCAAATCTAGTGCTAACTGGCCAATCCATATGAGGCTAGACAGGACACTTTTCTGGACCATACAATTATTGCACACTTTTAACACAAATATTAGATTGTATAAGATCCAGTGGGTAGCCATTTTCTATCCAAACCTTCATAATAAACTTGATTTCCAATTTTAATTTGGTTTTGGAACAGATAATTAGTGTCCAATGAACCAAACTCTTAATCAAATTTCAGTATTTGTTGTTTGGGACAAAAAGAGTTCTTATGTATGTACAATCCAGTAAAAATAAGCTTCCAGCTCACAGAAGTCAGAAAAATCAAGACTGACACATGTAGCAGTACATCAAGACAAAACAAAAAACTTCATTGTTTTCTTTTTCACATGTAAATACTGTGTGATGCTGGATGCAATTCATTTAATAATCCATGGAAAACATCAGACAACTCCTCAACGTAAAAATATGATAAAAGAAAAATTCATGAAATGAAAAATAATTCCGCTGAAAGATTGAAATGATTCACTTGATCTCATTATAAAGGGAATCAAACCAAGATTAAAAAAATCTGTTCCAGAAAAAATTGTGAGAATCAGATGAGCAGAAAGATTAAGGAGTGAAATAAATCAAGAGGATATTTTTTTTAATTTTGCTTTCTAATATAAAATACTTAGAAAGATTTTGAGTAGCAATGAATTGAATTAAACAGTATCTCCTTTTTTCTTTTTTTTCCTTTCATTAAATCTTTTTTTTGTAATGAGTGAAATTTTCATTCTTTAATCAAACCAGTTGACGTACATAGACAGGTTTCTTGAGTTATAAATGGATTCTAGTTTCAGTGAGAGTTTCTTTTTTCTTTTTATTTGTTGCTCTTTACTTATGGCCAAGCAGTTTCTATAAGCAACCAAAATTAAGATAAAAGAAATACTAATAAAAAAATCAAACATGGCAGACATTTTCTTTGTTAAATTGAAGTTTTCAAGACTTGGATTTTAGCAAATTGATATTTAGTTATAAACATCACTAATTTTGCAGGATCTTTTCAGTTATTTTAAACTAAGTATAAAACGATTTAATTTGATAATACTGCACCTCAAACTTCAAAATCCCATTTTGAAAAAAGTTCATTTGAATAATTTTTTATAATGAGGGGAAAAAATTGATAAATTTATTCAACTTTTGTGATTTAGTATTACAGAATTGATGACAGATGACTAACTTGAGGTAATTTCTGTCTAAATGACTTGGAGTTATTATTTACATGCTGACTGTTGTCCTCATCTTTGTTGTTATCACAACATTTTGGTTGTTGTTCCATCAGGTGCTTGTCTCTCTGGACAATCTTTTGGAAATTTCGAACTGAACCTTCTATTTATGTTTTGGCTCTAGACTCTAAAACGTCATGACCATTCACTGCATCATCCATTGACGACATTTAGTTGCCAAAAACAACACTTCATGTCTAAACGCACTGTGATTGCATCTGTGAACAAAATCAAAGCTCATCTATTGAATTCATGACTCTTTTCAAACAGTTGTGTTCTGAAAACAAAAAAAAGAATTTGAAAGGCTCCCTACTGCACACAGAGGTACGATGGCTTTCTAAAGGAAACTATCTTGCTCGCCTTTTCTCGTTTTTTACCTCTGTCGTTAATTTTTTACAGTTAGTGGATTCATTACTAGCAGAATAACTTGCAGCCATCAAGCCTCATGTTGCTTACTTGGCTGACATTCTCATAAAGTTCAACTTGAACCTCCAACTGCAAGATGATGAAACCAACCTCATCAAATCCAAATCCACCATCTCTGGTTTTATTGTGAAACTGCCCTTTTCCCAGCAAAATATTGGATGCAAAGACTTCTGTCAATTTCCAAGCCATAAAGAACTGGGAGAATGCCCATCTAATGATACACTTTTCCTTTTTATAAAGCATCTCATGAGCATTAAAGCTGGCATGAAACTGTGTTTTCAGGATTTGTCAGATCTGGAAATACCTCCTTGGATTTGGACTCTTTTCAGATCACAGATAACAACATGAATGGGTCCATTAAAAGTGAACTAAATGACTTGTGAAATGATTTTGAATTGAAACCTTTTCTTAAATGGCACACTATCAAGAATTTTGATTGCAGTCCACTATTTCAGAAGAATTTCCTGCATTGTGGAAAACAGCAAAGTTGTTTTTTTATTGCTTTCCCAACCTTGTGATTATTTGAAAGATCTTTCAATGTGATGTTCCAGATTCTCAATAAGTTGAGAAATCTCCTGGATATTGTGCAGAGAGGAGACCTTTGTCTTCACCTTACCATCATGAAGCCCAATATTAAAGAACTCTTGACCAAGCACCAAATTCATCTTTTATATTAACTACATGTATGTCCATGTTTATTGAAAAAAATAAAATGCTATTCATAGCTACGTTTCAACTTTACTAAGATTAGAGGATGAAAAGCATCAATTTTACTTCTTATCTTGATAAACATGGTGTTGGACATTTGTCGATATACTATATCCCATTTATATAGAATTATTATAGATAATACTAAAATACTCATTTGATATGCAATACTAGCACCAAGGAAATCCAATCAAAGGTTGACTATTAATGCAGGGGCATTAGGGTTGTGTTTTGGTATGCAAGGGGGGCAGCAGTTCAAAAAAAGTTTGAGAACTACTGCTCTAGAGTACAAAAGGTTTTCTTTAAAACTTGCCAATTTTGTAGAACAATAGATATATTTTTTAAAGAATGATTAGTTAAATTGGTTGATAAACAGGAAGTCAAAACATAAATTTGATTTCTCTTGCAAATAGTTAGTATATCAGAAGCAGGTGAAATACAATTTGAAAGTGAAAGTGTGAATGGGCGCCTCACCTGTAATAGTTGTGTCCTTACCTTTGTAAGACCATCTTGCCAATTCAACACCAGTTTCAGGCACAGTTGCAATAATGATTGGAACAGCAGCGTATAAATTGAAATCATCAAAATTGGTGTCAATCTGAAAAGGAAAAAAATTGTTGAAATCAAAAAATTTTCTAAAATATAGATTTTTAACTTAAAGATTTTTAAAAAACACTTTTTTTACATTTTTATAGAATAAGTCAATTAGAGCAGCAAATCTGAAACGATAAAAAATGATAAAAAGTACAAAGAAAAGAAAACATTAAATCTTTTAAGGAATTTGTTTTCTTAGTTATTCTCTTCAGGATTTCATAAAAATAATGCATGAAATTTGGAAATACAGATTTTAGATAAGATATTTTTTATACATGTACAGGCATTAGAATTGAAGAACATAGTTGATTATGCCTTTAGACATATATATATATATATATATATATATATATATATATAGGAATCTAAATGAAATAATAATAATAAAAAAAACGAAAGAATATTAATCTACATCCCAGTGTGTCTGAAGATTTTAATTTTTTAATATTTTTTATTCTTTAAAATATATATATATATATATATATATATATATAGTATTGAATATATATAGTATTGAACATAGTGATGCTGTTAATAAAACAATGCTCAATGTATAATAACAGCAGAAATTTATACTAATAATAAATATACGTTTTTTTTCTCACTGGTAGCACAACTTTAAGTTTCAAGGATGATGCAATTGTCAGGTGCAGTGATTGAAAAAGCAATCCTTATATATTACTGCCTTTCCATGACTTGAAGTTTTTTGTGGACACCCAGATATTTATGCAGCTGTCTCACAATCTTCAGATGGTACAAATCACAAGATACTCAATTCCTTATTCTGCAGTATTATAAATAATATATTTATAATATTCTGCAATATTATAAATAAATATCTAGGACTCCACATGAAATGGAAAAGCAATAATATCTGAGTATTGTTTTTCTTATGTTTATTATATTGGCTTGTTTGTATATTTAATATCAAGCACTGTTCTTGTAGTATTGTTTGTTTATATTATACAATATACATATACACACACACACACACAGTGGGGTGGAGAAATATTCATACCCTATGAATATTTTTTATTTAACATAGATTTTTTAAAAGAATTTTGTAATCCATATAATATTTGTATACCACAGCATAATGCTGCAATACACAAAAAACATACAGAAAAATTTATGTCAATGAAATTATATGAAATTAAAAAATTTGGAGGTGAAAAAGTATTCATACAAAATGATAACAACTATTTAATACTTTTTAGCAAATTCCTTGCTCTATTCAATCACAAACAATCTCTTTCTGAACTTTTAATCAATCACTTACAAGTTTCCGTTAGTATTTTACTCCATTCTTTGCATATTCTCTTTAGGTCCAGGATGTTTTCTGGGGCTCTTTTATTAACTGTTGAATTTTTAATAAACACTACAAATTCTCTTGAATTCTCTGTTGAATTTAAGTCTGGAGACTTTGATGGCCATTTGAGTGTATTGACATTGTTTTTAATAAGCCATTTTTTTCATAGATTTAGCTGTATGTTTAAGGCCATTATCTTGTTGCAAAACCCATTCATTTGAGAGTCCAAGTTTTAATACTGACCCAAATAAATTAGTCTAAAACATCTTGGTATATTTTTGAATTAATTCTACCATCTATTATCTCTAAATTACCTGCACCATTAGTAGAAAAACACCCCCAAACCATGATATTGCCACCACCAAATTTCACCGTTAGGATTGTGTTCTTCAGTCCAAATGTGAGTCCTTGAATTACACCCAGATAGTTCAATTTTTGCTTCATCTGTCCATAAAACACTTTCCCAAAATGATTCAGGTTTATTCTTATGCACACATACAAATTTTAACCAGCTATTCCTATGCTTCTTCAATAGTAGAGGAGTTTTTCTTGGAAAACGTAATCTTCGTTGACTTTTATGAAGTTCATTGCTTATTGTTCACTTTGTAACAATAATACCTGATGTTTTTAATTCTTTCTGTGTTTCTCTCTGAATAGGCATTGGATTTTCTTGAATTTTGCACTGAATTCTTCTCATTAATCTGGGAGAAATCTTGTGTTGTGCACCAGATCTTGATTTATCCTCAACAGTTTTCACCTTTTTATACTTAGCAATAATGGAACTAATAGTAAATGGTATATTCAAGAGATTTGCTATTTTCCTATAGTTTTTGCTTTCCTTTCAATGTTTGATGATCAATTCTTTTTGCCTTGAAATTTTATAACACATAATTTATAAGAAAATTTTGTAATTGTTTTTTTGCATATTGCAGTATTATGCAATGGTGTAGAAATATTGTATGGATTTGAAGTTATAACTATTTTAATTAAAAAAATTTCATGGTGTGCAAATATTTCTTTTGCTCCAGAGAGAGAGGGAGAGAGAGAGAGTGAGTGTGTGTGTGTATATATATATATATATATATATATATATATATATAATTTTTAATCATGTGACCCCAAGGAAGGTGGAAATGCTATTAGTATGCAGGAGGTTACAGAGAGTGAAACTTAGAGAAAAGAGTGGATATAGAGGGTGTTGAGGAAAGGATAAAATATACATGGAGGCACAATAGTGTTTTGGATGAGCTAGTCAAAATTATAAAGAAATATATGAAGTCTGAGTCATCTAATGCAGCCCAGAAATTTGTTGCAGAAGGAAAAAGATATGTCGGTTCTAAGCAAACAAACAAATGTCATGCTATACCCGGAAAAAATCTCCTTAGTTCTGGTGGCATCTGGGACGTATCTGCAGACCTTCCTGGTTGCCGTAATGATTACCCCAAAATAATATCAAATAAAGGTCTGCGACCAGATATTGTTCTTCTGTCAAGGGTGAACTATAAGATCATCCTGGTTGAGAGGAAGGACCCAAAATAGTGTACATTATCTCCTGATGACCCCAGTTTAAATATAAATTCAAGAGGAACACATAAAAATTCAGTGAAGTCAGATGCCGTAGAGAAGCTCGGTGGAAGTATCATTGGCATGAGGAGCATTACACATTCAGCTCGCTTCAGGTGAGTTTCAATTACTTTCCAGTAATTTCCTTCTTTAGGAGGTTACAGAGAGTAAAACTTAGAGAAAAGAGTGGATATAGAGGGTGTTGAGGAAAGAATAAAATATGAACGGAATTTGAGGAGATAGAAGATGTCAATTAATGTTACATTTAAATTTTTGAAGATTGTTGTTATCAGGGAAGCAAGTAAACAAAAAGGATTTCCACTAGCAGAAAGTGCAAGAAAAGAAACTGTTAGAATAGAAATGGCAGTTACATTTAACTATTTCAACAGTAAAAGGGTGGGACCTAAATGCCAATCTAGTAGCATGCTTAAATTCATGTAGTTGAGGCAACAGGGAAAAAAAGCTTGTCAGGGCAGTTGCCATGAAAATATTTGTAAGAAAAGACAGAGGTAAGCAAAGTGGTGGAAAGGAAAGTTTCTTTATGGTGGTTAAATGAGAGCAGTTTTGTTTTGAAGGCATTAAAATTTACAAGCCATTTCCTGCCACAGTTAACCACTGATTGGAGGTTCTTTTCAAGAGCAGCAGCCAGGCTAATTTTGTCAGCTCTGATAGATTTGCTATTGAGACAGGAGTAAATGGTAGTGTCATCAGCATAAATGCCTACTTAGGAACTGATGATATCAGGAAGATCATTGATGAAGATCAAAGGATAGAACCTTTTTAGACACTCGTGTTCATGTGAAAGGATCTTGAAGCAAGCCTGTTCAAAATGACCTTCATTTCATGATTTGAAAGGAACGCTTGGCTTAAATCAAACAATTATCCTGTAATACCATAGCACTGGAGCTTACATAGAAGACAAGTGTACAGAAAATTACAAATCAAAAAAAAAATCTGCATTTATTATAGAAAAACATCTTTCCACATTGTTCATCTTTTAAACGCCAATTTTTTTATTCAGGTTAAGCAATGAAATTTCAAGGATTGTTAAATGAAATCTAAACATTAGGTGGGGAGTTAACTTTTGCAAATGGTTTTAGTTAATTTGATTAAATTTGTCATGCTCCAAATAGGGTCTTGTAAGAGAACACTTAATATAATTACAAATGCCAATGTGAATATATTGGTAGAATTAATTAGAGATTGGAAATCAGGATTGGTTAGCATGTGGCAGCTAAGATCTGTCATAGGCAGTATGAAAATTTGCATATGCTTATGAATACTTCCAGTTCTGTTATTGCAGAACACTGAATAAATAATCTGATCTGTACTTTGTCTTTCTCTTAGGATTTTTTTCACCATAATCAGCAAAGCACATTCAGATTACCATCTAAAAATTATTGAGGCCATTTATATCAAGTCTAATCAGCCTTCCCTCTCTAAATAAAAGGAATGGTTGCTGGGTCTAAATGTAATTTCTCCTTGATTTATACTGCTGATTCTCTGGTAGAAATTTTTTATCCTCAATTGACTCTGAGGAGTAAGGATCAATAATTGGTTAACCTTTGCTGTGTTATTTCTTTGTTGTTGTCATATTTTTTCAATCCACCACTTTTATGGTGAGTAATTATTTTTCTTATTCTTACTCTTCTCTCTTTGATTTATACTGCCAAAAATGTTCTAAAAAAGAGCATAACATGATGAAAAAAAGGCCCAAATTTGATAAAAACAAAGTTTTAGCATCAAAATGTTTTCGTTATTATTAAGAGGAAAGACCAAAATATTTTTGATTACTTTATTAAATTTTTTAATCCTTTTTAGCATGTTTGAAATTTTGGTGAAAAATTGTTTGTGTCAGCAGGTAGACCAAAGATAATTATTGGAAATTTTAGCAGTGTCTTTGTGTTAAAAACATATTGTTTTGGAAATTCTTGGAAAAATTAAATAGTTGTTGGATTTTAATTAAATTTTCAGGACTTATTCACAAATGAATGAAATTATTTTAGGAAATTTTATTCTTCAAAATTCTGTTCCCCCCCACCACCACTTATTTAATTTTTATGAAATTTCAAGAAATTAAATTTCCATCCTCTTCGTATTTATATTTGTTAAAAACAGAAATCCTTGAAGAA